GAAATCCCGAAATGCTGTGGCAGTTCATGCACAAGAAACACACAGTAAAGATTTTTGCAGAAGTTTTGCAGGAAAAGAAATGCAAGTAAACCTCCTTCTGCAGAAAAAATGCCTATTTATACTTCTGGGCAAAATTAGATCTCAACGGCTGAGATTCGTTTAATCTTACAGTTCCTATTAACACCGTTTGGAATTCGACGGCCAACCCCAAACGGTACCGTTTTGAATTCGACGGTTCGTTTTTTAAAAATTTGCCCGTTTAACTGTTGCAGTTATCTTTTTACGGCTGCATTTATTGCACACGTCATTCCAAGGACAACTGTCAGACTTTTCAGACGGGCCCACTTACGCCCATTTCAACACCTTCATTCACTTTTGCACATTCTCAATTTTGCAAGTGTTTCACCTCGGCTCCGACCATAATAATCATGCATTACATTTCACATCGGCTTCAGCCACAGTGACCCAGTGTCACACATTTTATTTCGGCTCCGGCCATTATGACTCCGGTCATCATATTTTATTATGGCTCCGGCCATTGTGACTTCGGCCATTATATTTTATTACTGCTCCGGCCATTATGACTCCCGTCTTTATACTTAAGCCTAGCTCAGCACTTTTGTTTACTTTTACAATTACACTTTTTAACTAGCATAGTGTTTCACTTCGGCTATGGTCACAATGACTTACTTTGACTACATGTTACATACTTTACCTCGGCTCCGGCCATTATGACTCCGGTCATCATTTCCTATCACGGCCCTGGCCTCTATGACTCCAGTTGTCATTTTTTATCACGACCTTGGTTACATTATGACTCTGATGATCACTTTTTATTACGGCTCCGGCCACCATGACTCCGGTCGTCATCTTTTACTATGGCTACAGCCACGTTAACTCCGGTCATTATTTTTACCACAGCCACGGCCATGATCGCTCCGGTCATATTTTATTTAAGGCACCCCAGTATGACCCACTGTCACATACTTCATTATTAGTTACGGCTATGTGTACATTTGAGTTACAGATTTTATTTCTTCTTTTTACTTCCATGACTTACCCATATTCTCCTTGTTTAT